CTTGACTAACCGTCTCACTCATCAGATCTAGGCCCGAGAAAATATTTTTGTTTCCTCATCTGAAAACTGCGTTTGAAAAACAGAGGCAAATGAAGAGGCACTCACCTGCGTCAACAAAGTGGGCACAGGTCTGAGAAATGTTTGGTATGACTGAAAATGCATGCAAATCATGGATATTATGGTGAAGTTGGGTATCATTGTGATGAATTTATATCATCACAAAATGAACAGTCCATCTTTGAGAAATAGTGGCCCTAGGAACTCAAAAAGCATTAGATACAGACTGAGACTCCAAAATCATCGAACAAACTCTGTTCATCCACAATGTCGATATGAGTAGATGAATGAATCTAATTATAACTTCTGCGCGCACATTTGTTGACGATTACCGAGAAATGAATGGGAAGTTTACTATTCATGCTATTCATGTAACATCATATTGACATTTCTGTGCTAATACTGAAGTAGTTGATCCGATCAAAAAACATGACTTCGTGGTTGAATAACTGCATCAGTTATTATCTTAACCTCAAAATGTATTTCACAAATATAGGTGATCAAAATGTTTGAATATTTACGCTTCTGATTCTGAAAATCATTCTGAACATCAGTTATGAATGACAGTGTCAATTACGACATAGATGTAGATGGAAAGAGAAAGTGATTCGATAGTCTAATCAACAAGTTCAAAATAGAATAGTAGAATACAATAGAAATAGAGATAAAGGTCCTAAAAATATGAGCGATAGCTCATTCGATTCGGAATCACCTCTAGAAAAATGTTTTTGAAGGATTTTGGTGTAGGCAAAAAATTTCAATTGTTATTAACAAAATAAGAATAAAAAAATGGTTATTTAGTTTTTCGTCTTTTATCCTATTATTTATGCCAACGGAGATTGGGAAAAAATTTGTTAGTTGACAATTGATACATTTTTGAAAAATGGCGATGAAACTTTTTTTCTACGGTACTCGATTCATTCGAGTGTTGAGAAGATACTAGATTTTTTTCGAATTTTTAAAATGACATTTAATGTCATGAAAAAATTATTTTTTTGATAAACTCTCTTTAGCGGCAGCGCGCGCATGCCGTAACAGCCGCGCGGAACCCTATTTTCAACGTCAAATTGAAATTATAAATAATGGAGATAGAGTTGCGAGAGTCGAAACTTTTTTATCGGAAATTTCCTCCTCTTTAACGAACTTTTTCCAAAGTTGCTTGAATATTAATATTTTTTGAGTTATTAACGAAAAACTAAATACCATTTTTTTCATCTTATTTTGTTAATAACAATTGCAGTTTTTCAACTGCACCAAAATCCTTCAAAAATATTTTTCTGGAGGTGATTCCGAATCGAATAAGCTATCGCTCATATTTTTGGGACCTTCATCTCTATTTTTCATATTTTTGAACTTGTTGATTAGACTACGATAGCCACCTTCATTCGACAAGCCCAGTTGATATACAGTTTGGTGTCAAAGTGAGACTTGAAGTGTTACATTATCAGTGGAAAGAGAAAGAAATAGTGAAACATGGTATAACTAGGAAGAAAATTGATGATGAGAACTATTTAAAGGCATACTTTACACAGACATTTCAGTCGATCACAAAATGCACTAGCCGATTTTTCCGATAGTAAAAAGGTACTCCATACAAATAATTCCTTACTTCATCATCAGTAACCAATTTCAATTGAATTATACTTTATGGGATACTCACAGATTCTCGCGATTTTTTTAGGGATGATACTAGACGACGGTAGGAATTCAGAACATTTTTTATTTTTCGTCGGACTTGATTAGTTTTCGAGATATAGCCTGTCAAAGTTTGTATGACGTCATATTTCACCTTCTTTTAAAAGCAATTAACGATTGCATTTCACATATTTTTTTGTTTAACACAACTTTTTCCATATCATCGCACCTTTTTCTATCCCGTTTCAATCACTTGTTGCCGAGTTTCCTGAAATTATAATAAAATTCCATAATTTGTCAGGTGCACACATCGACATAACCTTATAGGTTATGTCGGTGGGTGCACACGAATCACTATTCGAAAATAGGTTCCTTTTAGAATTCGGTGGTCAGGTTAGATGTTGAGGAAACATAGTTTTTACAAAAGTAAATATTCGAAAATACGTTTCTTTTAGAATTTGAAGGTCAGGTTAGATGTTGAGGATACAGAGTTTTTTAAAATTCTAAAGTAAGGTTAGACTGAGTTAGTTTAGGTCGAGTTAGGTTAAGTTGAGTTAGCATGTGACAAATTATGGAATTTCAATCTTATTTCAAGAAATTTGGCAATAAGTGAATGAAAAGGGATAGAAAAAAGTGCGATGATATGGAAAAAGATGTGTTGAATGAAAAGTATGTGAATTGCAATCGTTTATTGCTCAGTAAAAAAGGCTCATATATGACATCATACAAACTTTGGCAGGCTATATCTCGAAAACTAATCGACTCCGACAAAAAATAAAAAGTGTTCTGAATTCCTACCATCACGTAATATCATGACAGAAAAAATCGCAAAATCCGTAAGTATCCCATGAAGTAAAATTTTCCCGAAATACCCAACCAGACGTTCCTACCAGCTGGGGAAAAAAGTCATATCATAACAGTATTCCCGATTTTTCTTTTCATTGTATGAATTATGTAAAGGGTCGCTGATATGTAAGATAGCTAGCGAAAAATGTTGAGATACAAAAGTTTTAGTCCAAAAATGTTTTAGTCCATTGAGTTCATAGTCCATCAAATTTCCTTTCGGAAGTTTCCAGCTCGATAACGACGACGCGTATTTCTTTTGTCCGACAGTGATGATGTTGACAACACATGTCAAAAATACATTAAGTGTGAATAATTTTCGCGCAAAAATTACACGTGTAACTGATACTGAGCGCATTGAAATTTTAATGATCATTAGATAGGGTGATAAAAGACGAAGTTGTGACATAGTAGTGGATATTTTTAATGAATAACATCCCAATGGGAAACCTTTTTATAAATCAACCGTTTCAAAAACATTGCAGCGTTTTTATGAAACTGGAGGTGTCAAAGATTGACCAAAAAGTGGGAGACCAGTAAGCGTTACAAGTTACAAATGAGAAAATTAATTGAAAGTCATGTTAGATGTGGTGGAAAATCCAATAAATTCGGCACAACAGAGAGCTTTGAATCATAACATAAATCGATATCCCAATCAAAAAGTTTACAAACTGCAAAAATTACATCCAGATAGAATTCATTTGGTACAAAAAATGAGTGAAGATGTTTTTGATCGTAGAATTGAATGAAAATGTAAACTTTGTTAACCATATATTGGTTTCTGACGAATCTACATGTTGTTCACACTCAACGGCCACAAAAAATAAAATGTCTGGTGTGGCATTATTCGTGGACACGTCATAGGACCCTATTTTATGAACGAAAACTTGATCACCAAACGATATTTATTACTTTTACAACAGCAAAATAATTCCAGAGCTTAGACGATTATTCCTGAATAATAACAATCCCAATTTACCGGCAGATGGGGCTCCTACACATTTTGGTACGTGTCGTGATATCTAGTTGAAACTTTTCCTGATAAATGGATTGGTTGTAGTATACAAAAATAGGCCGCCAAATATCGAAGAATTGCAAGAAAGAATAAGGCATGCAATTTCTACCATTCTTCCTCACATAATTCACCACAAAATGTTGTTCAGCGAGTTCAATACTGTCAGGAGGTGAATGGTTAACACTTTGAACACCTTATTCAATAGAATTTCAAAGGAGATATTTGTTGTTTATTAAAAATTATTTTCTCTAAATTTCTCCTGGCATGAATATTGTTTTTATAAAATTTTAAATATTCTGAACATTCAATAAAAATATATTTTATCGTTTCATGCATTTTTATCAACCCTGAATGATTATGCTTTTTTATTTTCTGTAAAAAATTATAATTGAATTGTAATCATATCCACAAACTCCATCTTGTGTGACTTCCATAATAAATATCAGTTGAATTCAGGAAATGATGTGCTATATCAATTTTGTTCAAAATTTTGATCAGAATTCAAATATGAAATAATATATAGGATATTCTATTGAAGAAAAAGCAACTTTATTTGTTCCAGACTTTTTGAGTGATCCTGTATACTCAATTTGTATTTTGTGTGATATATTATGAAAAACCCTGAAACATTCGTATCTTAACATATTCCTCTAGCTTACTTCAAGAGATAATGGACTGTTTCCATAGATATCAGTGACCCTGTTTGTATCAAAATAGGTCACAGAACGGAATTTAAATTTGATCATTGCTCATCATCACTATCATTGTATCGGAAGATCGGTAAATATAAGTTGAATAAAAAAAAAACAGAAATTCTCTGTCTCTGTATGTTGCCACCATCAAAGCCTTTTTCTGTTGCTCACCTTTTCATTCAATTTTGTTCACTTCTCTGAAGAATTCTCAACACGATTCTAGTAAAAATATATCAATATCTAACTCCATATGTCTTTGGAATGTTATTCATATTAGACAATGGGATAATGGCTCTAGAGGCTTTTTCTCTTTCAGGAAAATAGTTGAGTGAAGTATCCCTATAATTTTTTGAGGCACAAGGCTAGAAATTTTGTATCTTACAATCTATCGCGCATATTTTCGTAATCCCTATTTTCCTAACTGTTTCCCAATAACCTTTGATTATTTGTCACGTGCCTCCTTCGATTGGTGATTTTCATCTATCATAAGTAATTATGATAATATTAATTTTTTCAGCATCTGCCATTGCTTATATTCTGAATGCTATTTCGATCTTTCATAGGTGATTATGAATTAGTCATTCTACACCAAGAGTTCCCATCTGGAAAGTTCTTTGAAATTACTAACACAAGGTAGTTGGAATTTTCCAAAACTGATCTGTTGCAACAAATATAGATCACATGAATATCAAATATTTATTTCAAATCTGGTCTACTACGAACTCATAATTTTTTGAATATTTTATTATTTTTTACAGAATGAAGATGATCTCCCTCCCGCAGAAACCATAAATTGGGCAGATGGCTTGCTTTTGGTCTACTCGATCATAGACAGACGTTCTATTTCGTATCTAAGAAGAGTAGGATCACTCATTGCCGATTTCGACATTCCTGTGTATATAGTTGCCAACAAAAATGATATGGTAAGAAATTTACAAAAAAGTGATGACTTGAATAAATTGAATAAAAACACTTTTGTCTAAATACCACTGGAAAATTTTTATTTTACGACCGGTTTCGGGTTTGATCCCATTATCAAGTATATCGGTAGCGGTTGCAACTTATGGTTTTTATGGCCCGGAGTCTCTGTTATTCGTTCAAGAACTCTGAAGGAGAATAGGCCAAGCAACGAAAGATCACCTACCTCTTTTTCAATAGAAAGAATTAGTATTGCTATTCAACGTGGCAATGCTGCTTCGGTCCTTGGAACTATTCCTCCTTCACATAATTTTGATGAGATCATGCATTGCCCTAATTTAAGTACCGAACTGAAATATCTTCGAAACGAGCCCAGATATGTGAATATCCATCAGTCCCCTGTCAAGGTTAATTCACAAATGATTGATCCACCTTCTTTTTTTTCAGTGCGGTCAATGGACTTAGGTCATTCTTGCTCCTCAAATATGAGTTGCAGTCCTCGTAGTTCAGGTTCCCTTTCAGTAGAAGAACTTCATAAAGCAAGAGCCGAATTGATCCTTCTACGAAACCCTTTTTCACTTGGAAGGATCGATTGCAGCTTGAGAAATGGTTCTTATGGAGATTATGTGAAACATGTTCGAATCATGTACGAATCAGTGGAGTTGTCCTGAAAATCTAGAGAAGAAAATTGGATTGGATAATTTAGGAAATACTTGCTACATGAATAGCATTTTACAAGTGTTGTTCATCACGAAGAGATTCAAGAACGAGGTTTAATTGATGAACGAGAACGGGAATGTTCCCTACTCATTCATCAAACTCAAACACCTGTTCATGCAGCTGCAGTTTCGCAAGAATGTATCATCTTTCCTTCCAACCGATTTCCTGGAGTCTTTGAAGTCCACTAGATACTCGTTAGGACAACAAGAGGATTGTGCTGAATTCTTGGGGTTCTTGTTGAATACTTTTCGTGAAAAAAACAATAGCAAAATCAATACTCCTGACTGCTCTGGTTTCAATGATTCCGTACACTCCATCTCGTCTTTTGTTTGTAAATCTTTTGCTGGAAAAATCCTCACTTGTTTACTTTGCAGTAAATGTTCAAGAGGTAGTAAAAACTTATGTGAATTTCTGGAACTTCATCTAGCTTTCCTAATATGACTGATAACCAGTCCGTGCAAATTTTATTGTTAAATCATCTGAAAATTGAATCTTGAACAGGTGATGATCCACTGTATTGCCAAACATGCGCTAAACTAATTAACTGTTATAAGGAAACAAGTATAGATGAGGCACCAGTCAGTCTAATAATAACACTGATGAATTTCAAACAGGACTCAACCTCTGACGGAAGCAAGAAACTCTTTCGAAGGTTCGAAATAGATGAACATTTCAATCTAGCAGACCACTATTACAATATTCATGCAGTCATTGTTCACTGTGGTTCTAGCGTTGAATTTGATCATTATTACGCCTTGATCAAAGACGAAACGGACTGGTTTGAGTTTGACGATAGTCATGTCACGAAATGTTTTGGCGATGTATTGAATCTATTGGAGCCTTTGGAGATACCCTACATTCTATTTTATGAGAGAGAGGACATTGGCAGATCAAGATCTTCAGACGATGTGGTGCTGCAGGTTTTTCCGGATTTTCCTGCAGCTGAAAAAGCCATGCTCCACTGGAATCAATGAAGTCGCCCCAGAGAGTCAATTAATTTTCATTGTTGCTTTTATTTTTATCGTTGTTTCACAATGAAATTCTTTCATACATATATGAGTTCCCAAACTTATAGTGAATCCTTCCCAACAGTGTCATATATTCGGAGTGTTGACGAGCATTCACAAAGTTTCATGAATATGAGTAGATGAATTCATATTCCATAAATTACAGATATCAAATAACTTGGGATGGTGAAGCATATCAATAAGAATTTGACCAGAAAACCGAGATTCATCGTATGAAATCTACCAGAATGGAAAGAATCTGATGAGTCTGGAAGAAACATTACTGAGAGACTATTCAATTCGAGCACAATGAATCATATCCAATCTCTATGATACTAATAGAGGAGATATATTGGAAAACTTGAATAAACATATGAAGATGCATGAAAAGACCAAGGAAACATTTCCTCACAAATAGCCTGTTGAAAACCCCTGAACTGAATAAGAGTTTTACCAATGGGAATCATTTTTTTAATGCATTAGGCTCTTAAGACCTGACAGAAGTTTCATACACCACCAGTGGTGAAATCCATGATAACATATGCATCTTCGGTTTGGTGACTGTAAATGAAACTACCGACCTATGTTAAGGAACCAAGCAAGTTGCGATCTCTTACTCATTAGGATTATCGGATACACACGCAAATACATAACGTTTAAAGTCATCCTGATGATGAGCTTGCCAGAAACATCTGATTCATCGACAAAGTTTGGATTTGCATCACAGTTTTCCGATTGGTCATTACACATACGTCTTGGAGGCAGAATTATATGAAACCTGACAATGTACAAGAGATATCAATTGGAGAATGACATCAATTGCAGAATGACATCGAAAATAGTCTGTGGAATTCATATATAGATTGACTCTATACCGGATATCAGCACCCTCACGAATCATAGATAACGGAACGACTGCTGAGTGTGCTAGTCATGGATAATTACCTCCGTATATCAGCTCTGAACCAGCTGTGGGGATACTAAAATCTTGGCATTTGTCCAAATCTAGGAATTGATTGAATGTAGAAAAACACACGTGGAATCTTTCATGAAAGGACCATCTGAGAAAGCCACAGAAAAAATGCTTCAATGGAACATGGAACGGTCCATTTATTGCAGAACAAAATTATGCTGTATAATGGATACATCAATTGAAAACACTCTAACAAAGAAGCAAGGATAACTCGTATTTTTTCTGAAGAATTTGAGGCACTGAATGAAAATAACCTGGTTAGTGGACTGTCATTGCGGCAGAAATCATCAGTGATTTGTGATTTCACTGCGAGGACGAAAGCTATATTTTTAAGTCTCAGCAACGACTGGGATTTCGACTCGACCTTCCACATACTTTAAAACAAACAAGAATAGATCAACAAAGGCCCGTTGGCTGAGGCCCGTTGTTCGAGCTGTGGCTGTGGAACCATATCGTTGGCTGCGTTTTGTTGATGACACGTCTGTGGAATGGCAAGATGGTGAAGAGACACTAAGCAAATTTCTTTCATATCTGAACTATCTCGACCCAAAAATCCAATTCACGATGAAACAAAAAACGCAAGGGACACAGACAGGTACCTGAACAAAAACTCCAACCATCAGCCACAATAAAAGAGAGGGGTGATCGAAACGTTGGTTGGTTGTGAACCTGAGAGTCTTCCTGAGGATCTCAATCACCTGGCGAAGGAGACTTTGAGTGGCCATACAAGAACGGTAAAGTAACCCAAGCTGAGCTGGTCAAAGGAAGAGCTTTCGTTTTCTTTGTTGAAAATGTAACAAACCGGATTGAAAGAATCTCAGAGGAACACGACGTCAAATCAATATTTAAGCCAACAAAAATGATCAGACAAAGTCTAAGGCCAGCTGCGGACCGAGAGAAACTTTAGCAACTTCCGGGGAGTATCGTATTACTTGAAGCTGCGTTTTGGTCTACATTGGAGCAACTAATGTTGTAACATACAAAACAAGTTGATAAGGCGTTTTGAACTAACGTTGCCACAGACATTATTTACAGTTTTTTAAAGGAATTGGCCGCGGTGGTAGTGCGCCCGACTCATGATCGGAAGACCGTAGGTTCGATTCCCGCCTCGATCAGATATTTTTCGATAGAATTTATCTGGTTGAAGCTGGAATGATTCTGCAACCGTGTTAGGAATCACCCCTCAAAAACTAAGACCTCGTTAGTCCTTAGCTCGCACAAGTTTCTCAACATCTGAAAGTTGTCGTTCGTACGGGGGCGACAGCTGATTAACGGAAAAACAGATTTATTTTGAACCATCTAAAAAGAACATTGCTATGATTTTTGCTTACTTTCTTATTATCAACACCTCAACATGCGTATTTGCAATAGGTTTTGAGTGTATTTTATCGAATTTCGGTAACCTCATGAATTTAATTAATTTTATCTCAATTGTTCCAATACACTTGAGAGCAATAACATTTTTGATCAGAGAAAATATACCTTTCTAAGAATATATCACAAGCATATACTTCCCAACTAAAAAGTTGGGGATTGTACCTGTCACAACCTGAGGGTTGAAGGTAGGGATAGCATTTTTCCGTTGAAGTATGTCGACTTATAATTCAAATTTGACGTGTTTCGGGATTTTGTCATTACCAGTTGCCAATTTCCAAAATGTTGAAAGGATGGGTTGGTTATCCTTCTGACTAAGTGTAGGTCTTAGGTCCTTTCTGACCTAAGACCAATTACAATTCTACCGTATCTCTCTAAAGTACTGGAATCGATTCTATAAAATCAGATTGATGAGTACGTCAATGAAAATCATTACATAACATCTGTACAATCAGGATTTAGACCTCAGCATAGTACCACCACGGCTCTTCTGTCAATTACTGACGATATTTTTCAAGCTGCAGATGAACAAAATTTGACCTGTTAAATACTTCTAGATCACAGCAAGGCATTTGACACTCTAGATCATGAAATATTGTGTGACAAACTTTGTCCACTTCGGTTTTTCTCGGAAAGCAGTGTCTTTCTTAGAAAACTATCTGAAGAATCGTACTCAGAGAGTTGTTGTGGATGAAGTTATTTCAGATGCTCTGCCGGTATTAAAGGAAGTGACAAAAGGATCTATCCTTGGGCCCTTGCATTTTAGCTTTTATATTTGTGACTTTTATGTGTCCGTGAAAAAATGCAATTTACATCACTATGCAGACGACACGCAGTTATATTTCTCTTTTTCGCCTGGCGAGTTTACATCTGCTCTGTCGCATATTAATAACGATCTCCAAGCCATCTTTGACATTTCTACTGCCCATAAGCTCAAGCTCAATTCTGACAAATCCGCAATAATGATGTTCGGAGCTAAGAAGAACAGAGAGCTCACCAACTCTACATTTCAAGTTCGCATCGAAAACGATATACTTCCCTCCGTGGACGAGATAAAAAATTTAGGATTGTGGTTTGATCTGGATCTTCGCTTCACTGAACATGCCAGCTATCTGAACCAATCTTCTTATAACATTCTCAGACAGCTTTTTCCTAATCGTGATTTGCTCAACACAAACTTAAATCTCAGACTATGCGAGTCTCTGATTATGTAAAAAATTTCCTATTGCGACAGTATTTATGGACCTGCTTTAAAACAATCGGATGATCTCCGACTACAGCGCATTCAGAATAGCTGTCTACGTTTCTCGTTTGGTATTCGGAAATATGACCATATATCCCCAGCAATGCAAGAATCAGGATGGTTAAATGTTGAGAAACTTAGAACTCTACATGTTCTTACCAACACACATAAAGTTTTGATAACTCGACAACCTGATTACTTACTGAAGAAGCTTGAAACATTCTCTACGATTAACAGCTTTACTACAAGGAACAGTTCAGTTCTAGTCATCCCCAAACACAATTCTTTCATCTCCACCCGCTGCTTCTCGTATAATACACCCAAATATTATAATCAACTACCCTGCGAATTTCGATCATACACCATCGTAAACTTTAAAAAAGACTGAAGACTTATTTATCTCATTAGCCTCTTGTCCGTTCCCGACCTTGGCATTTCTGAAATGAATTTTATAAAGTAAAGCAATAACTAAACTGTTTTGATATTGTTAACTCGACTTGTGTTCATATTATTCATTTATAGTTTCTCCCAGGTTGAGTTGAAAAATAGCCTTGGCTGATTCTCCGCCTATTCACCATATACTGGAAGTTCTTTTCTTTGTTTTTGTTATTGTTCCTGTATACTGTTTTATTTTATTTTTGTCTATTCCACTTGTATTTTTATGGTGAATAAAGACGAATTATTATAATTATTATATGTACCGTAACCGAAATAATTAATTTATTCCATTTGACTTTTACACACTGTATAATAACTTCAGTGTTTGAAGTTCGATGATTACTCATGTTGTACGAAACAGAATATTTCCACATGTGGTTAGTTTTTTGTAAAAAAGCTCCTTGATTTCCTTCGTTTGATCATGGGGAAGTAGAAAGCTAAGGAACTTTCTTCCCAAAACATATGTTGAATTTGATTATTATTCTCGTAGGTCATTTGAAAATAATTGTAAAACTCGCAAATAACTTCGTTTCAGGTCCACCTTCGAGAAGTAAGCGCCGAGGAAGGCGCCATCTTGGCGCGTCATTTCGAATGCGGTTTCTCAGAAGTCGCGGCAGCAGAGATGGTGGCGCCAGTTGCCGTCGTGTTTCAAGAGCTCTGCAGGTCGGTGCTGGCGGCCCGCAGGAAATCGAAGCATTCCCTGCTGGAGAGAATGCTGGGGACTAGAACTAGTAATCTCCGACTCTACGCTAGAGGGAAGAGCGACAGTGCTTTGCCGAAGGACTGATGGGTGTACTGTGTGAAATTTTGGATATTTTGTTGGCAATTGATGTTACTTTTCAACCAATATGGCCTATGTTTGTGTGATATGGTTGTGCAAAAATGTTTTCTACTTTCAGTATATATTTATCACAATAATCACTGAGGCACTTTATGATTGTCCTCAATTCAAGCATTGAATAATTATTCGTTTCATGTTTAAATGAAACATTCGATAAATTACTTATTGATATTTCTTATTGGGAGAAATTTAACAAAATCGTATGAAAATATTTTTCACAATAATCAAGAGTTTATTCATTCTCAAATATAGCAAAATTTGTCCAAAATATTTTTTTGATAGATGTTCATATTTATATTGGCTAATATACTATTAAATTAAATATCTAATATATTTGTAATATTAAATAAATAATTTGGAGGTGTCATTGAAGTTTTGTACGGTAAAGTATAGTTTGCTCATTAGTGAGCAGAATATTCACAATGTACAGAATAGTAAGTTTGGAGTTTGTTATTTTTAATTGTTAATAAAAAAGTTTGTGGATATAGTTGAATATAGGAAGAAGGAAATAACTTTTGTCTGATGTCTACTTAATTTCCATTTCAACATTGAATTATGAAAGGAACACTTTTTTCTATGAACATGGGGAAATAGAAAGCCAGCACCTTCCTTTCCCAAGAATGTATCTCCCCTGAAAATATACCCCTTTCAATTCAAATCAGGATTCCAACTCACTTCGATATCCGAACATATTTTTATTCCGACTTGTTGCATTTTATTATATTTTTAGATGAGATATACAAATCAGGGGCGATATATCCATTTCTCGAATGAATGTCTGATTTCAAAAAAACCTAATACAAGTTCATATCGTAAATCATTGCTGCTCACTATTAGATAATTTTTATATAATAATGATCAGATCAAAAAACGTTCAATGTGCCTTCTCATGTAAATATTTGTAGTTAGATTGTATTCGTGTATATTTATTTTCAGAGATATAGCGTACAACCTTTTGGGTGAAGGTTGTAAACACATCAAGATGCATGGTATTGGCAATGCCACTTCAATCCCTAATACTTTCATCAAACACGTGTGAAATGTTAATTCGATCTCTAAAACACCTTATTTTCAGAGTCATACGGAATTAGCTTCTGAATGAGCAGTGTGCAAAATCTGTTGAGTGTGTACTTGATGGTTCAGGTTTAAAATGCCAATTCGGTATGTCTCTGAAAATACTTTACTCACAGTAGAATGAAAATAGTTGCATATTTCATTGATGTCAATAAAATTTTTAATCAATATAGTCTAATTATTCTTTCTCATATCTCTGAATATGTAATGGCGGAAACAATGGCAATAAGACCAAAGTTTGGGCCAATATTGAAGACAGCCAGCCATTGCTGCAGATGTAACGAATTCTAGATTTGTGTACACAAAGTTACTACTGCTAATAGCAAAGGATAATCATATGATTGGACAGACGTTACCATTCAATACTCAAAGAGACTGATCATAACTATTCTCTACCAGATTTGTAAAATTTATTTTGCTGAATATGTGACGAATATCAATGTTTTTGAGTAAGCATGGAATTGAAAATGAAAAAATTAGAAAGATACCTGATTTTTTTCAATCTGATTAATGATTTCCACCGTCTGTGAACTGAAATCAGCCGATGGAGAACTTCATACAGGTATAGAAAGGGCGCTTTTCAATCCAGCCTGACGAATTATTGCGTAAACTCAAAGTATTTATCGACAAAGACCAATGTATTGTTTATCGTTGACTCATCCCATTCAAAAATATTGCATATCAAATGAAGAACCAAGAAATTGAACAGATATTTATCTCAACATTTCGGCCGATGGAGAACTTCATACAGGTATAGAAAGGGCGCTTTTCAATTCAGCCTGACGAATTATTGCGTAAATTCAAAGTATTTATCGACAAAGACCAATGTATTGTTTATCGTTGACTCATCTCTTTCAAAAATATTGCATATCAAATGAAGAGCCAAGAAATTGAACAGATATCTATCTCAACATTTCGGAGAGCGAAATCTCCCTCCGTTTTCAGAATTGAAAAAATGTCTTGTAGTTTTTTCTTGAATCTGTTTCATTTTCAAACTTCCTTGGCAAATTCTTGATAATAATCATAGTAATCTCACAATAAATTTAATTCAAAACGCGTTTTGCTACACGGTAGCTTCATCAGTTACTGATTCATCCAACTATTCCACTATTCTAGTATTCCAGTCAAACAGGTATATTTTGAAAAACAATTGGGCGAAGTATAATATTACTTCTAGTGAGCAGGTAAAATATTGGCATTTTATGTCAAAACACGATCCTGTTTTCCAACTCCACAAACGATCAGTAATGGAATTGGCCAACACTTGATGAAAATCCATTACGTATTCAAGAAACACTCACTGTCAGATCTGAATTGATCACTGTAATGTAGCTAAATAATTTGATACATTTTCTAGACAGGGACAATACCAAAATCATTAATAAACATGATCGTGCAATTTTACACATACCATCTTATATGGACATTATTCATAATTTCTCTACACATTTCCATCAGTATGAATCAGCAGTTTGAACAATATGCTTCACAGACTATTGAATAATCCATTATTAGGGTTGAGTTTTAAAACAGCTGATACTCCGCCCATTCACCTCAATATTTTTTAACACGCTTTCATCAGCTTCACCTGTATGTATATATGTGTTTATGTATGTATGTATGTTTGTTTGCTTGTAACTCTCAAGCTCGGGATCTGTATTTGACATTATTATCGACATTACTGCTTGATCTATTCGCCGGCAGATGGCGCTACATGGAACCTCCTGGATATGTCGACATTATTTCTTGAACTATTCGCGGGCAGATGGCGCTGTATGTAACCTCCTTGATATAACTTCACATGTATTTATTCATTGGAAAAACGTATTTTTTTAATACCCTCTTTTGCGCGCCTGCTGCCTTGGGCTTGGAAGCTGATTTTCAGGCTCCCTTTCCGGAATCGGATAATATCAATGGTCATTTTTCTAGATAATATATGGCTGATTGATCCCAAAGTTTAGATAAAATAAATATAGTTTTATAGCATACGAAACTGAAAAATTAAAAATAAATATAATTTAAAAAACTGAAAAACACGCTTGTAAAGAACATCGAACTGAAAAGTTGAAAATATTTTTTTAAATAAGCTTAAAACAATAACGAACGAAAAATACTGCCATATTTTTAATATATCAAGCGCCCGTCGCTTTTTCTACAATAATACTAGTATTTTTCTTCCGTTATTGTTTCAAGCTTATTGAAAAAATTATTTTCATCATTTTAGTTCGATGTTCTTCAAAAGCGTGTTTTTTAGTTTTTCAAACTATATTTATTGTAGTGTCATTGCTTTTCGAGTTTGAAAGCTGTGGATTTTTGGAATTTCTTCCTGACGTATCGCTGGCGCGAGTGGCTAGCTTCTTCACAGGTTCAACCATCACGGCTTGCTGTTCGATGACTACCATTTAGGCTTCGCAAAGCATATTTATGCCATGTCAGGTAATCAGTTGTATTAGTACCTGTAGTTGTACCTGTATTTTTAGTTGTATTTCAACCTGTATTGTACCTGTATTTGTACCTGCATTTGTACCTGCACTTGTACCTGAACTTGTACCTGAACTCGTACCTGCACTTGAACCTTGAACATTAACAATCTTGCTGCCTGTTGTCCTGTTCGTTATTCTAGAATTCCTTAAAATGGGGACCATATTCGATTGAGGTTCACCGCTTCTTCTTTTCTGTTGAAATTCTCCGTGTGGCAAGGTATTTGAGTTCCCTGTCCAGATGTTCTGGTTCACATATTCTCCGAGCCCCTTCCGTTAGAGTTGAGATGACTCCTCTCTTTTGGCTAGGATGGTGGTTCGATAGTGCATGCAAGTATCTATTTGTGTGTGTGGGTATATTTATTGTATATTGTTTCTTTATGCTTGTTCTTTCTCTTGAAGATGATCACTTGGTTATTGAAACACGTATCGGGGTGGTAATAATAACGGTTTGGTGTTGGGATTAAACTCCAGTAATATTACTACTTCAAATGTTCCAAACAGTGCGTCACAAATATTATAATAAATCAATTTTCAGGGGGAAATTGATTGTATTAAATGAGTTGCCATCAACAACGGTTATGAGGTTGATAATATTGACTCTATTCTTTTCTGAAACCCACAAATAAGATCCATTTACCGGATCTATCCCACTTCAAGGACGATACTGAAGGGCATAGGATATTGACAACATCGCTGGTTTTATGAGGAAGAAAGCTTTCGATCAGGCTTACAAAAAAACAATAATCCTTTGAAAATGATGATAACAAAAGTCAATTCTCGGATTAATAAGGAGTACCTACATATATAAATTGACTAGTAATTCTTTCCCAAAACTTTATATTGGCCAAACGGATCTTTTTCTAGAGAGTTAAAGAACATATGAGTATTTTCTCGAATGTGTAGACAAATTCTACCTTTTAACCACAGCTATGACGTTTTACATTTGTGTTGGAAACACAATCTTTTGGATTGTTTGAAAATCGATAGACTTGAGAATTCGTAAAATGTACTGAAGAACCGAATATAATCGAACTTTTCCTCTCTGTTGAATCTGTTTTCTGATATGCTGATTGATGTCAATACATGTCCATTCAAAGCGTTGGTTAAATTTCTTTTATAATGTTTCAACTTCCGGTTGGTTCATAACTGAATTCTGGTAAAATGAGAAGTAATTAACTCATTTCATATCATCGTACTCATTTGAGTACACTTTGAAATTAAATGTTTTGCAGCGACATTTATTGGCAAAAAAGCAGAAGTTTTCCGTTAGAATTACCCAAAATGAAATAATAATAGTCATATTAATAACCGCGAAAATTATGAGTATTGCATCACTGTTCGTTTAGTGGAGATACAGAGTAAAGTGTTGTTCTCTTTGTGAATATCTGTGATAATTGATAGCTTTATAGTAAAGGATACGATAGTGAAGATGATATTCCTTTGGCCATATTATACCAACAGCCACTATCTAAAGACAACAAAATTCCTGAAAAAAATCCTACGTCACATGCATGTTGACATAACTATGAACCAATCTAATGGTCACTTACTTCGCGAATCTCAAGTGAAAGCTGAGCTATCAGATCTAAGCCTAGTTGAAATTTTTGCAACATTATTTGATCAAAATATCATTGAATATATTATCCAGGAAACTATCAGATATGCATGCGACAAGAATAACCACGCATTTACAGTCACTGAAGGAGAAATGAAGACTTTCATAGGTATTCTTCTACTGAGTGGGTATCATCGTTTACCTAAAAAAATATTATATTGGTGCCTAGATGAAGATGTACAAATCCCATTGATCTGAAAGTGAGTCGGAACAAATATTATGAAATAAAAAAATATTTTCATCTGACCAACAATGCAGAACTCGATGAAACAGATAAAATGTTCAAAGTACGTTCCCTGATGAATAAAATGAATGAAAACTTTGCACTGAGGTGTATTTCATGAGAAGCTCTCGATTGATGAGGCTATGGTGAAGTATTTTGAACACCATTCGTGAAAGCAATTCATCAGGGAAAAACCAGATTGCTTTGGTTTTGAAGATTGGATGATATGTTCATTTACAGGATACTGTTGTAAATTTGACACTTACTGTGGTGCAAAATCAACTTCTCCAAATGTGGTTGGTGTAAATTTGCCCCTGGGATCCAAAATTGTTTTAGAACTTGTTCTACCATTGAACAACCTGGAGACTATGTTATTTTTTTTGACAACTATTTCTCGAGTCATGGTTTGCTAACTACTCTGAGACAATTGGGATAAAGGGCTACCGGAACTGTAAGAAGTAATCGAATAAAAAACTGCTCCTTATCTTTTGAAAAAACAATGAAGAAACAAAAGCATGGTTACTATGATTATCGTTATGATAGCAGCAATTTGATATTATTCATCAGATGGAAAGATAATAATATGGTATCGATGGGAACTACTTTTGACAGCGTTGAGCCTATAGTTGAAGTAAAACGATGGTCTGAAGAACAACAAGCAAAAGTTGATGTGCCCCAACCAAGACTGATTGCTAATTCTGGCATAGGAGATGTTGACCTTTCAGACCAGGGAGTTAGCAATTATAGAGTCTCGGTACAAGGCAAAAAGTGGTAGTGGCCTTCATGGACACACATGCTAAATCTATCAGTTGTCACCGCATGAAAATTACATGTGCTCTCTTCAACCCAAAAAAACTTGATCTGCTAGATTTCACATGGTCCATCACAAGACAGTATCTAAGAAGTTATAGGAAACCACAGACATCTTTTCAAGAAATATTCTAAGAAGTTTGGTGAATGATGGGACAGGACACTACCCAAGAAAATTAGAAGAACAGTTGAGATGCAACCAGTGCCACTAACATGCAAGATAGAGCGGCCAAAAATGTAACATAATATTATATTTGTAAAAAAACTGTTTTATACAATTTCACACTGGTGATGTTAGTAGCGAATGAAAATATTTCATAGATAACATTTTACCTCACTTGTTCCCATTGTACTCGTTTGAGTACACGTATTTTTCTCTTATGTTTGTCAAAAAAAAAATTCTGTCCAGAATACGTTTTAATTTACATAAATCTAACAATGAAACTAGAAAATATCAGTGTTTTAGATAAAAAGATCAATTGGACACAAATGAGTTAGGTGGGTAGGAGGTCATATGATTCAAATCGTCAAAGCAGTATATCAGTCAGTATGAACACGCTTGAGAAAACTTTATAATAGTAAAAGACGTTTTGTAAACTGTCCAGTAGAAATCTCTTGATAAACTGTCCCTTGAATTCACAAAAGACGTTATTCACACTTTCTGCAAGAATAATCTCTGTATCCAGTCAAACTCCCAGTTACACTATTTTCAAATGTAAGTCTTTCATCTAAAGCCGCGTACAGACTAATGCAACAAGCAGCGCAGAACATGCACGAATCATTTACAACACACATTCCACATCCAAAGCTACATTATGTTTCTGTTAATCAAAGCCAGAACAATAGAACTAGCTCTTGGTGCTCTGAAAACTAATTTGGAGCCTTTGATACGCATACAGTTATTGGGGTGATTTGTCAACTAATACTAGAAACTGATTCGATGTCACTCAATATTGAAAGTAATTATTCGTCTTGATGTATAAATCAGTTGTTAAATTCATTTTAGTAATTTTTTGATGATGGTAACTTGGTAAGCAAAACACACATCAAGAGAGTGTTGGTGTTAGTGCCAGAGATTATGACTCTACTTATCGAGTAACTTTCACAATTTGGACTGTGAAGTGAAATGGTATCGGCCTTTTTGTCCTAACCAGTCAGGGACATGCTGAATTGTGAATGCCTCTTTCGTCTTTGGCGAATATCATCTGGAACATTTGCTCTAGTTCAAGAAGTTTGACATAGAGAAGGTTTCAAGATGTTCAACTGGCCTTTCGGTACTCTGCTGATCGGTACTACTTCCTCAAGGATTATCTCTTTATCTGAAAAGTATAACCTGATTGTTCTACTTAGACTTTTTTTAAAGTAGGTGTCGGTATCAACAGTGATGATAGTGCAAAGTGTATAATACGTCTAAGAATATTTCTGGTTCTCATCTCTAGCAATTTGCTGCACCATTTCTATCGCATCTACTGTTTACATGCCTGGTGATGGCCTATACATATGTTTCAACCCTTTTTTTAATGTTTTCAAGATCACCTACTCGAAGAGTTCTATTTTCTCATCTCACAAATATTATCTGTATCTAAATACTGAGGTTATTTGATCAGTTTTTCTGTTTTCTCCAAAACTACCTTCCAAAACTCTTTCATTTAGAGGTAGCATTCAGCACTCCAACATAAATCATCACCACCTGACATATATCGCTCTCATAACTTCTTAAGGGTCTTTCTGAGTCGGACAAGTATCTCAGTCCAAAAAGCATAGTAATACGGAGAATGTCTTCGAGAAATGTGGAATTGGCGCAAGGTATATGATATATCACGATCATAAGTCAACAAAATATCCGTAAGTGAAAAAGCGTAGAAGCTCGGAGACAAGAAAACTAATGAATTCATCGGGCTAAGGGGGATGTAGAAATAAGAGCGTCTGCGCAATGATGACAGCATCTCTTTGTTGTGAGATTTGGTCCACTATTCGCGAAGCTGTGCGAGTGTCGGCCGCCATGAGCGCCCTAAATCTGGGGATTTGTGTTGTTTTGTTCACTTACTCATCCGGAATCATGGCCACCGGAGATAAAATACCCTTGGGTAAGTTTACTGGACAACTCCAGCAAGGCTAAGACCAAGAAAGTGCTTGAATCGATGTTAGGTTATATACTTACAACTGATATATGATAACATTGCCGACCTCTGACAGCGCTGGGATACAGGGGGCTGTGGTTTGAGGGTTGTTCATGAAGAAAATTCCATTGGGTTTTCATAGTTATTGGCACCTCGTCTTCCAACAGTCTGAAAAGAATCAAAATTATTGAAAGATATATGCAGATTTTGAAAAGGTAGCCTGTAGCGATGATAAAAATGATTTTTTTTCGAAATAAAAAGAATGATGAGAAATTTGTCATCCACTTGTATGTGTAACTTATGAATGGAAGTGACTCTCTGTAAAAGCACCGTTGAATTTTTGACAAGAAAGTCTCTTCTCTTTTGAAAATTGAACCAAAAAAATATTCAAAATATTTCACATTCCACCTCATTTCAAGAGCATATGTTCAGAATATTCATGAAGGCTGATCATTATTGAGGTATTTATCATTTCATCCTGAGAAAGCTTCTTGAGTCCTCTGGTCTTGGATTATTTGAGAGACTATTAAAAAAATGAAAAATGACATGAAAAAACCTTTCGTGGATTATATATGTTTTCAAATATTGCAAGCTTAAAAAACCTGAAATTTCAAATGATTAAATCCATTTCAAGTTCTACAGTGGAAGTTGATTCAACATTTTTTACAAAGATGAATTGTCTGAAACAGTCAGGTCACTGGTTGATTTGGTTATGTTTTCCTCATCAGAAGAAACCATTTTTGGTAGCATATCCTTCCGTTACTCCCAAGTTACCAGAAAACATAGCCTCATGATCTTTTGCTTGTTAATTTCGAATTATCAGAAAACATAGCCTCATGAACATTCGCTTGTTATTTTCACATAGCTTCAGAAATATTTTCTTCTTACTTCCAAGTTACCAGAAAACGTAACCTTATGAACTTTTGCTTGTTGCTTTACAAGTTACCTGAAAACATATACTCATGAACTTTTGCTAATTACTTCCAAGTTACCAGAAAACATAACCTTATGACTTTTTGCTTGTTACTTCCAAATTACCAGAAAACATAGCCTTATGAACTTATTGCATTTCCGTCCAAACTTTTCATGACTGATACTTGTCCTTGAATTTCACTAGTTCGGACTTCCATTGTCTACTATATAAAATGATTTGAAATCCCTGAAAGAAGTAAAAAAAGAATAATTAAAAAAGAATAATTGAAAATAACAATTATATTAAGCAACAATAAACCTGAAATGAAATGATAGTGAAATAACCTACAAGTAAAAATATAATAATTGAATAAATAAAAATTAAAGGAATGAAAAAAGAAAATAATAAAAAATAAAAAGTGTAGAGATTCCAAGTCACGTTAGTTCAC